GGCCGACAGCTCCGCGCGCGTTCACACGGGTTTAGTGTTTCACGGGAAGCGAGGGTAAATCCGGCGCGCCGGGCGTCACAGTACGACCTTTCTCTGCAAGGGCGGTTCCCGCTCGGGCGCTGCCAGCTGCACCAAAAGCTTTGCCGAGCGTCGGGAAGAGCAAGCACCTCGTACCCTGTTTTTAGTAAAAAGTTCACAAAGATAAAGTCTGTGCAAACCACTACTGGGTCCTGATCTTGAGGCAAAACCAAACTGAGAAAGGTTTCAAGTGCGCTGGAAGGAAGAGCTGAATAATTCACACTCTTCTAATTCCTACATAAATACCAGGGACAAGGAAAATTGGTCTTTGCAAGACTACGCCTTCTGTGGCATTTCGCCCCAAAGCGGGAGTGCGCAGGAAACCACGGGGGCTGGTACCAGCACCTGGCACGCAGGGATTGCACTGGTCGGCTCTCGGTCCTGATTGTCTGTAAAGCAACGGAAACGTCATTAAGGAGCTGGGAGAGGAGAAAAGAGGTTTCTTAAGTACTGCGGTCTCGTACAGCGTAACAAAACTCTTTCTACGAATTAATTAGGCAAATACTTCTGACCATGTCATACCTGAAGGGCACTTAATGGCTCCGGCATTTATCTCGCAAGTACAGTGATCCAAAATACATATGCATTTTCAGCGTAATCCTTTGCCGCTGTAAATCATGCGCTGGAATGAGAGCGTATCTGGCAACGTTAATTCAGAGATATCATCCTACAGTTTCTGGCAACGGGCCCCGATGAAAATAAATGGTTTATAAACACCGTCTGACATGCACGAGCCTTTCAAAATTATTTACAAGTGATGTTCTGGGAGCATCGTTCCGAGGAAGAATTTCTCCTCCGTTCAGTTTAGATATTGAAATCTGCCAGGTGGGGAGGGGGAGGAAGGCGTCAGCGCTAGACAGTCACGGCCGGGTACATCTTCTGGTCGCTGCTGGTGTGCGGGTACGGAGACTGGATCTGCCTGTAGCCGCCCTGCAAGCCGTCCAGGAAGGGGGCCACCGGGGCCAGCGGCATCGAGTCGTGTGGCACGGCGTAGCCCACGTACTGGGGGTGCAGGTACTGCCCCTGGTGCGGCACGATCTGGGTAGCCTGCTGGCAGTTCAGCACCGAGAAGTTGGTCGGCATGTTGACGTAGACGTTGTTCATGGTCCCTTCGGGCAAACAGCAGTTGGTCTGGGACCTGGTCGGGGGGGCTCTGGCCCCCGAGTTGGCGCTGGAGCTGGAGCTGGCGGCGGTGCTGGACTGGCGGGAGGAGGAGCCCCGGGAGGTGCTGGCACTGGGGATCATGGGGATCGTCTCCATCAGGCGGG